GAAGCAGCTGCATTGCATTGTGGATGTTCTGAAAATGGCAACTTCTTCTGGGATCATGTCATGTGGCTCAGGAATAGAGTGGATTATCCCCTTCCCTAGCCCAAGCTCTGGAGATCTTTGAAAGGTAAGTGAGGAGAAGGGTGTGGAGCCAAGTGGGTTGGAAAGCAAGTGCAAGGCCTGTAGGGACTTGGTGGGGCCGATGAAGGAGAGATAGGCAGAGGATGATACAGCATCCCTACAATTGATCATAAGGATGAACAACTGCGTGTGGACTGCAACAACTGTAACTTTGGAAATGGAGCTTTTGGAGGGTCCACCAGAACTTTGAATGGTCACTAATTAACTGGTTTTAAGTTGAGAACTACCTCTGTTAGCTTCTGCTTGAATCATTAAATAAGAATAAAATGTATAGGAATGTTTGTTAATAGTTCGTTGTGACCTACGATTCATATTATGCTAACCACTGTAGTTAATTATGGAATATTGACAACCTCTGTAATAGTTTTGAAATCTCAAATATATAATATGAAATAGTAATATATTTTAAATATAAACTAAAATAAAAACATAATACTAAGAAAAGTAACAACCACCCACCCTTTATATGGACAATATATGTAAAAAGGAGGGGTTCTGATCACAGGATTGCAGCTGCCCTATTGGTTTTGTAATACATGCTCATGCACATACAGAGACATTCTTTGCCATTTGCATGGAGGTTTCCATATTCTTCTAGTTAAGTTATGCTTGGAGCAAGTAAAAATTCCAGGGAAGAACTATTTCAAGCTAGTCCTTTTCCAGTTCCTTCCTGAAAAGAGAAAGATCTGGCAAATGATATGGTGAGGAATCCCAGAATTCCTAAATGGCACACATTATTTATGTATTTATATATTTATATAAATGATTTACTAATCAGTTTGTGTAACAAAACCTAAATAACTATAAATATCCAAGAAATCAGAACATTAAAAAATGGAATCATTTATTCAGCATGTTAAATGAAAAGTACCAGGCATCTGGATTAGTATTATATATACAAAATCTTTCTCTGTATATGTAACTGAGAGAGGCAGATGTATGTATTTTTCCATACCAACATTTACATTGTTATTTCCTATGTTTTTTCTTTTTAAATTAAGATATAATGTAGCCTCGTGTTCTTAAAATTGGGCTACATACTGTATTTTATGGACAGTTTATATTTGAAATACCACCAAAGAGAATGTATCTGTTTTCTATGGAGTTCTGGTGCCCCAAACAATAACCATAGTGGTTCTTGTCCAAATGTTTATAAAACCTCCAGAGTTCTCTGTGGGTTTGTTCCATTATTGTTTATTTTTTTGACTATATTGTCCTCCAAAATTTTCATATTCCCTCAAAATGTTTCTGCCCACAACTTTACTTAGTTACCTGACCCTGATTTCCCTATCCTTTATTGCAAATAAAGCAGAAACACATGCACAAATGAAATAAACATATTTTTCTCTGCTTCATTTATATTCACGTGTATTGGAATTTAAATTGAATCTTCCTCCAGGTATTTGTTTTCTGTAGAGTTCCAGACATTGTTTATGGAATAGTTTAGAGATTCTGTCAGGGATCAGACATATTTTAAGGAAAGCCTTTTCAGAGTACTAAAGAAGAAGACAGAAACTGTTGAGAGCTTAACTTGAGTTAAAAGTATTGTTGTAGTGGGCAAAGATCCAGGAATCGGGTTGATTGTTTTCTCAGAGTTAGTTGGCTGCTGTCTGGCATTGATAATGAGATGGTGGTGTTGTCGGTTTTGAGATGCAGGAAAGGGACAAATCCTCATCTGTTTCCTGTGGATAAACAAAAGGTTCAGAATTGAGTAAAATGTTATTACTTTAAAGAAAGCAGTGTTGGAATGTTTCTATAAGCTGAAATGGCAATTTGTATTAAGAGAATACGGAAATTAGTATTGTTGTAGTCCTCGTTTATGAATTGTTTCCCCAGGATTTGGACAGACTTTCTTCTTTTTCTTTTAGTCAATGAACACTTTAAGAAAACATTGATAATATTACCTATCAAATACAATAAAATATGTGATGTTATTTCAGCTATGAGGTGTTTTTTTATATACAAGCATTTTTACACCACATATAATCAGGAGACTTGGTTGATTGATTGATGTGCCATAAAATCAATAGAGAAAACCTTATAATAAAGCAGAAAAGAGAAACAACTGGCTCAATGGACAAAATTCTACAAGAGCCTCACCAGTCACTCTAATCCAAGGCTTGGGGGAAAAAAGCATTTTGTTAATTACCTTTCAAATGAAAGTGGGGTAGGAACCGTACATATCACTGGGGAATGTTGTTCCAGAAGACAGGTGTAGTGACAGAAAAGGCCCATCTCCTGAGTTTCATGACATATAAGATAATGCACAAGCCAAAATGTATCTGATAGCTTGCGTTTATTTTTATTTTTAAAATTCAGTAATTTTGTGGGGGAGGGGGAACTTTACTGGTACATTGAGCTGCAAGTAGCTGTAATTCAAACTTTAAAACAAAGTATAATTTAATACTGTGCCGTTCATTTTAATAGCTATAGCACTTAGACTTATATACTGCCCCATAATTTATTACAGTACTTTCTGGGTAGTTTATAGTGACAGCATATTGCTTCCAACACTCTGGTTCCCCATTTTACCAACCTCAGAAAATCAACCTGGTCAGGATCGAACTCCAGACTATGGGCAGAATTAGCCTGCAATACTACTAGGGCTCAATTTAATGCAGCAAATTGAATCTTAAACTTTGAGATAAATTGTCTTTAAATCCGTAGTTGGGAACAATCTTATCTTTATTAAGAAATTGGTTCAAGACATCATAGAATATGGTGTTAAGTACTGTTCTATTTGTGAGTAGTTCCACAAACATCTCTGGTACAAGTGTACAATATTCTGCTAGCATAGCAGACCATTCTGGTAAGGACCTTACCAGAATGGTCCTTCTGGCAGCATTCAGCAAAACAAGCCACAAGCTATAAAACTCTTCAGAAATTCTGCAGTCGGTGGGAAGTAAAATTCAACACTAGACTTCTATTTGATCACATCAACTGGAAAGACCAATGACTATGGCATTTATTCTATAGTTTAAGTCTGAATTCCATAAGTGACTTAGCATAATGGCTAAATAGTTGAAGTTAACTAACTGATTTGTGTTCTTGCTTGTGTTTTCTTTTGTTACTTATAAATCTTTCAGCTTTTATCATAATAATTTATCATTTGTTCCTGTTTCCCAGGGTTTTTTTCAAGTTGCTTTGTCTATGTTCATCTAAATGTTCGACTCTGTTTTATTAAGGAAGTTAAGCCACTGTGGTTTTTTGCAGAAAGGAAGAAATGGTGGGCAACCTCTTGAACTTTAAAAGTACAAAACACACAGAAGAATTATGCTTTTGTGCAATTCACTCTTTTCACTTAACCTGAGATGACTCCATAAATCTAATACCTATTCATTTATTATTAGACATACATTCATTATGTTGCTTCTTAGTTCAAAATTGTTTGAACACAAATATTGCAGCCTGCTTCAGAAGTGCCTTTTAAGAAAGGCCTAGACAGCCTGGAAAAGGAGCTCAAAGAATGTCAAATTTTTATGTATACATGAGAAGAGGAGAAAATTCACTGTTTTCTTATCTGTGTGTCTTGAAACCTCTCACAGTGCTATATATTATTAAAATGCTGCAGACCAGATAGTTGCCCTATTCCAGTCTAATGTGGAATAGGGGAAAGAGTTGATGACCTGTGCTTCCATATATTACTATCCATAATACCTGCTTGTAGTCTATTGTATCTGGATTTTATGGGAGTTCTAATTCAAAATATATGGTGGGCACTAGGCTACCTCTCTGCATTATAAACTGCTAGGAGTTCAAGATAAGTTTCCTTTTATTTCTTCTTCCTTTCCTGTCAAGCACAAGAAATTGGGAGCCAGGTTTAGGTCCAAAATGAGTACAAGTTTATTCAAAGTTACCTCTAAACAAGAATATGGAAATATGGAAATTTAGGAAATTGGCAGTAGATAAGAGTCAATGGAATTCAAGCAGGGCTGGATTTAGACTACTTGTGGGCGCGAGGGGACTCCAAACTGATGACCACTTGACCCCTCCCTTGGGCTCGGCCTAGTAAATCTCCTACATTTCCCTTTCAAATGATTTATTTTCTTTAAGATCCCTGAAAGTAATTGCTCCTCCTGATCATTTTTAAATTTTTAACCTTTCCTCCTTTTTTATATATAAAAGGCACAGACTTGTATCTGTATCTGTTTGGGCTGCCTTTTGTATAAAAAAAAACCCATTACATTTTGATATGGGTCAATTTCATTTAAAAATGATAAGTATGAAGACTCTTGATTTTTGATGCTCAAAGAAATGTTTGATGAAGTAGTATTTGTTTTCCAACTTTGAAGTAATATTTAGCAGTATGCTTGCTGATGTTGCTTTCTATACATCAAAATTGCTGTACCATGGTTTGCTGTTCCAAACTATGTTGCGTTCAAAACTAATTCCTGTGTGTCTCTTTGAAACCTAAGAAATTCAATAAACTCTTTTACAATTAAGAGTTTTACACCTAAATTAACTTCATTTTTAAATATATATATTTTTTATACAATGAACTTTTCATATACTTTCATGTTTTACAAATTATTTCTTAGAGAATATAAAAAAACTTTAAATATTCTAAAATCTGCATTTTAATAAAGTTGACTATATATAATATACCTTAAGTAACTAAATGATAAAAAAATAAAGAAGAGACTCTTTATAATTATTCTCAGCTTGATAATCTTGATTTAAAATAGTAGTGTATAAGATGCAAATGAATGTGGGAGTGAAAATGTAACACATCCATGTTATGCAGCATTACATCTTTATCAATTAATCTCTGATTAAATGCACATGTACTGATGTTAAACGTTGTCTGAACAAGAAACCTTTAAACATGTTTCTCTTTCCTTCCCCCTTTCTTCCTTTTTCAGATGGAGTAGACATTGAAGATGATCCTTCCTGCTCATGGCCAGCTTCTTCACCCTCTAGTAAAGATCAGACTTCCCCAAGCCATGGAGATGGTTGTGACTTTGGTGAAGAAGAAGGTGGCCCAGGATTGCCCTACCCATGCCAGTTTTGTGACAAGTCTTTTAGCCGCCTCAGCTATTTAAAGCACCACGAGCAGAGTCACAGCGACAAGCTCCCTTTCAAGTGCACCTATTGCAGCCGCCTCTTCAAACATAAGCGGAGCCGAGATCGCCATATTAAACTTCACACAGGAGATAAGAAGTACCACTGTAGCGAATGTGATGCAGCATTTTCAAGAAGTGATCACCTTAAAATTCATTTGAAGACTCATACCTCTAACAAGCCATATAAGTGTGCCATTTGCCGACGTGGATTTCTCTCCTCTAGTTCACTTCATGGACACATGCAAGTTCATGAGAGGAACAAAGATAGTTCTCAATCTGCCTCCCGGATGGAGGAATGGAAAATGAAGGACACTCAGAAATGCAGTCAGTGTGAAGAAGGTTTTGATTTTCCAGAAGATCTTCAGAAACACATAGCAGAATGCCACCCAGAGTGTTCCCCAAATGAAGACCGAGCGGCTCTTCAGTGTGTTTACTGTCACGAACTCTTTGTAGAGGAAAGTTCACTAGTAAATCACATGGAGCAGGCTCATAATGGAATGGAAAAGAAACATATGTGCAGTATTTGCTCAGAGAATTTCCATACTGTCGAAGAGCTATATAGCCACATGGATAGTCACCAGCAGCCAGAATCATGCAACCATAGTAACAGCCCATCTTTAGTGACAGTTGGTTACACCTCAGTCTCTAGCACTACTCCAGATTCAAATCTCTCAGTAGACAGTTCAACTATGGTTGAAGCGGTTCCCCCAATCACAAAAGGACGTGGAAGAAAACGGACAGCACAGCAGGTGGCAGATATCACTGGGCCTTCAAATAAACAAGCCAAGGTTGCTTATAGTTGCATTTATTGCAACAAGCAGTTATTTTCAAGCCTTGCAGTACTGCAAATACATTTGAAAACTATGCATTTAGATAAACCTGAACAAGCCCATATTTGTCAGTATTGTTTAGAAGTGTTACCTTCACTTTACAACCTAAATGAGCATCTGAAACAAATACATGAAGCGCCAGATCCTGCACTGATAGTTTCTACCATGCCTGCTATGATCTACCAGTGTAACTTCTGTTCAGAAGTTTTCAATGACCTCAACTCCCTTCAGGAACATATTCGATGTACTCATGGATTTGGAAATCCAGCTGCTAAAGACAGTAATGCATTCTTTTGTCCTCATTGTTATATGGGATTTCTTACTGATTCTTCTTTGGAAGAGCATATTAGACAAGTCCATTGTGATCTTAGCAGTTCTCGTTTTGGTTCTCCTGTGTTAGGTACCCCTAAAGACCCTGTTGTTGAAGTATATTCTTGCTCTTACTGCACAAATTCTCCAATATTTAATAGTGTTCTTAAACTGAATAAGCATATAAAGGAGAATCATAAGAACATTCCATTAGCATTAAATTACATCCATAATGGGAAGAAGTCTAGAGCCATGAGCCCTTTATCTCCAGTTACTATAGAACAGGCATCATTAAAGATGATGCAGGCTGTTGGTGGTGCTCCTCAGCGCCCTGCTGGTGAGTACATCTGCAATCAGTGTGGTGCTAAATACACCTCTCTGGACGGTTTTCAGACTCATTTAAAAACACATCTTGACACTGTCCTGCCCAAATTGACTTGCCCTCAGTGCAATAAGGAGTTTCCAAACCAGGAGTCCCTGTTGAAGCATGTGACCATCCATTTCATGATAACCTCCACATACTACATCTGTGAAAGCTGCGATAAACAGTTTACTTCAGTGGATGATTTGCAAAAGCACTTGCTTGACATGCACACCTTTGTGTTTTTCCGTTGTACATTGTGTCAAGAGGTCTTTGATTCAAAAGTTTCCATTCAGCTTCATCTGGCTGTGAAGCATAGCAATGAGAAGAAGGTGTATAGATGTACGTCTTGCAACTGGGATTTCCGTAATGAGACAGACTTGCAGCTCCACGTTAAGCACAATCATCTGGAGAATCAAGGCAAAGTACACAAGTGTATTTTTTGTGGTGAGTCTTTTGGTACTGAAGTGGAACTCCAGTGCCACATCACAACACACAGCAAAAAATACAACTGCAAGTTCTGCAGCAAAGCATTTCATGCTATCATATTGCTGGAAAAACACTTGAGGGAGAAACATTGCGTTTTTGAAACAAAAACTCCCAATTGTGGAACCAATGGAGCATCTGAACCAGTTCAGAAGGAAGAAGTAGAGCTACAGACATTGCTGACAAACAGCCAGGAATCCCACAACAGCCATGATGGAAGTGAAGAAGATGTTGATACATCTGAACCAATGTATGGTTGTGACATTTGTGGAGCAGCCTACACAATGGAGTCTCTCTTGCAAAACCACCAACTTCGGGATCACAATATCCGACCTGGGGAAAGTGCCATAATAAAGAAAAAGGCAGAGCTCATAAAAGGGAACTACAAATGTAATGTGTGCTCACGAACATTTTTCTCTGAAAATGGGCTTCGTGAACATATGCAGACACATTTGGGTCCAGTGAAACACTATATGTGCCCAATATGTGGTGAGAGATTCCCTTCGCTTCTGACTCTCACTGAACATAAGGTCACACACAGTAAGAGCCTTGATACGGGAAACTGCAGGATTTGCAAAATGCCACTCCAGTGTGAGGAAGACTTCTTGGAGCATTGTCAGATGCATCCTGACTTGCGAAACTCCTTAACAGGATTCCGATGTGTGGTTTGCATGCAGACAGTGACTTCTACTTTGGAGCTGAAGATCCACGGGACATTCCACATGCAAAAGACGGGCACCAGTGCCGCAGTGCAGTCTACAGGGCGAATACAGCATCTTCAGAAATTGTACAAATGTGCTTCTTGCCTGAAAGAATTTCGCTCAAAACAGGAGTTGGTAAAACTTGACATTAACGGCTTACCATATGGTCTGTGTGCTGCTTGTGTTAATCTCAGCAAAAGTAGTAGCCCTGGTACCAACATACCTTCAAGCAGTAATAGACAAGGCATGGGCCAGAATGAGAACCTGAGTTCCGCTGAGAACAAAAGCAAAGGAGGACTGAAGACTCGCTGTTCAAGTTGCAATGTAAAATTTGAATCAGAAAGTGAACTTCAGAACCACATCCAGTCAGTCCATAGAGAACTTGTTCCAGACAGCAATAATACACATTTGAAAACACCACAAGTATCACCAATGCCCAGAATCAGTCCATCACAATCAGAAGAGGTAATTCCTCTCTCTCCCTCTCCCTCTCCCTCCCTCTCTCCCTCTCCCTGTCTCTCTTTTCCTGCTCTTGCTATCTCCCTCCCCTTTGGTAAAAATATATATGATCACCTTTTTTCTTCCTTCCTTTGTTTTCTTTTTCTTTTTTGCTAGTTGTTTACCGAGATATACTTAGCCCGAATATGTATTGTATCTTCCCTAGCCATTAGCTAGCTAGCAATTACTTGCTTTTTGATAAGTCTTGAATGGCACAGAGTAGGACTAATTCCAGTCTCCCTAGGATATTGTCTTCTTTATCACTGAAGAGAATAATCTTTGTGCCAGCACAACTGAGAGCTGGAATCTTAACTGAGGTTCATTTTGAGTTGGAATCCCTAGCTCTGAGTTACGCTTACGGCACAGAGTGTTAATGACATAAAAGTAAACTACACTAAGCCAAAGCATTGGCATGCAGAGCACTGTTTTTTGAAAATATTTGTGAGCAACAGAGCAGGAGGGCTATTTTTGTAAATTATGTTGTTGACATTAATTTTTCCCTGTCTTGCTCTACTTTGATTAAAAAGAAACGCCACAGTGCAACACCTACTTTTGCTAAAGGGTAAATTAGTCTTTTTATTATAACTCAATCTGTGTTTGTTTGTATATATGTTTGTGTGTGTGTATTTGGGCCGTACTGATAGGATTTGACAGAATATTATGCTAAGCATTGGATAATTAACATTTCTTGCAGAATAATCTGTAACAAAAAAATTTACAAATCTGGGGATCCCATGGGGAAGTAATAAGATCACACACTTATTCCAGATTAATTAATTTGCAATAAATGCTGTGGCCTTTTTCTATTATCATAATCACTAACACAAATTAGAATTGCCAAAGGGGCATTCCCAAGCACACTTAAATGTACATTATTTAGCCTTTAACTTGCTTTAACTTTCCTTTTGTTTACCAGGGGCAGGAAACATATGGCCTGTGGACTATACCCAGTCATTTTGAGTCTTGCTCCATGAATCTCCTCCCCCTCCCACTCTACCCATGCATACCTATCCAGCTGAGAGCCTTAAAGATGATAACTGTAGGGGAAAATAAGATGCAGTCACAGCCAGGAAAAACACCGTGATAGACATTGTATTGTCTAAATTTGGCTTACGCGTAGCTTTATTTTTCAACTCTTCTAAAGCATTTAGACAGGAGCTTACTTAGAACAGTCTATTTTTAATTATACTAATTTCTTTAACTCGCCAATAAGAATTTAAGTGCTCTGCTAAGGTATACAAATATTATGGAATAGTGGGAAATGGTTTCCTTTTACCATGTCTGTGCTTGATTACAAACAAGGAGTTTAATTATAGAAGATGCTTGATGGAAATGAAGGGTATAGGATTGCCAGCTCTGTAGAACATAGTGACACAATCCAAAGTAGACTATATTTTCAGGCAGAGGACACATTGCTTGATGACGTACAAATGTGCCTGTGCCAGAAGGGTACTTTAACAATTAAAAATGATTTATTTCTGTGCTTGTATTTATGTATATATTTACACTATCTTTCTTCTGTATTAAACCCTCTGAATTCTTGAGAGAAATTGCAAGATTTTGGCTTTCTCACTTGAAATCTTTCTAATTTTATATACCAATACCACAAGCTAATGAAGTATACGATATTGTGAGATTTGGATATTTGAAATTAAAGATTTGAGATCCTGAAGATAGCATCGAAGGCATTTGGTGCTGCAGTGAAGTTGACCTCTTGACCTATACACTTGTGCATTTAGCAGCTAGTTTATCTGCAGGGCAGTAGATGAAGTTTTAAATTGGGAATCCTATCTACAGGTTGTTGCTTTTAAAACACAACCTCATGAGATTGTAAAATGTTGACAATCTGTTAGAGTGGAGGAAATATTGTGTTTCTGTCCCATCTTACCATAATAAAGTTTTACCTAATACCTTCAAACAACTGTATGAAAGAAACAAAAGCTATTGCTATCAAATAGGCTACTGAATTGTGATAAACTAGGCAAAAGGAACATGCATTTCCTTTATTCCAATAAAGGATATCTTTATTCTAATGTATATTAACACTGTGTGTGTACCTAGTGTACCTATCCCATAACACGTTACATTGGATATTATGAACTTTTTTCCAGTAGAAAAATAGTGTCTCCCTCTGGTTTCATCTCAACAGTTAATAATCATAGAAGCAATAATTTATGATATGCTGATTTATACTTAATATATTAACTTTACTATTATTTCTTCAACAGCTCTTCCATAGACAATATATTGTAAGGTTTCATGTTTTGCCTTTACATACAGAAGATGTCCCAGAGTAATTCCATTTTGGAACCTAATCTAGAAACAACAGTTGATATTTTAAGAGTCCAAGGGAAAAAATGTTAAGACAGGAAATCAGTGATGGCAATACCATATTTTGTCCTAAGGAAAAGAATACTTTTTGTTTAGTATATCTTCCATATAATTGCTCTGAGAATCCAGTTCTATTGCACATTTAAAATACAACACAAACAGCATAATAAGGCTCAGCTGACATTTCATGTCCACCTTTGATTATCATGCTTTAAATAGGACACGTATAAATTTAAAAGATCACAGAAGACCTGAGGGGGGGGGAATGATATGTGGGAAATCCTGATTAAAATTAACATGCATATGTGCCCTACATTGATAGCGATATAAGAATTTTAAAGGAGTTTTAGCCCAAGGATAATTTTTAAAAAGAACAATCAAAGATATACTTTTGGGGGGAATGTGTGCTATAACACAGGCTTGTTTAACATTTGAAAGGAGAAATCTAAGTCTACTTTCCTCGACCTGTTTAAGTAAAAACATGTTGGGACTACAGCTCCCACAATTCCCAGCTGCACAGATTTTTAGAGTTGCAGCCTTGACACATCAAGTGGGGACTGAGATGAAAAAAACCAATTGAAGCAAGTAGAAGAGATAAAGTTTTAGATTTAGAAAGGCTTCGGTTGAGGAAACTCAGCTACTGTAGTTGTTAATACAAATATGTTTTTGGAACGGCAAATATAGTGATAAATAACAATAGTGCATCAATTTTCTTTATTCCAATTTGGGTAAGAAGGGATAATCCCAAGAAGCTTGCTTGATTGCCATCAGGAAAAAGCATCAGAAGCAATTTAGCTATAAAAGGGATCACATGGGAATCCATAACTTTTAACATTTTAAAGGAAATGCAGGTTTTGATCTGCTTTAAATTTTGTAACAATTCTGCTTAAATAAATTGTATTATGCCTATTTTAAAAACCTCAATTTAATTTCCAAAGTTATTTAAGAATGTTCCTGCAATCTTTCTTCTTGTCAGCATGAAGGAACTGTTGTAATCATATGAAGCTCTTTTTCATTACCTAATTGCACAAGCATGTTCTAGAAATTCCTGCTTGCTTATATAAAAAAAAGATTTTGACATATATTTATCACTGCTCCTAGTGAAATGTTCTGGTTTTCATTCATATACAGAATTGTGTTAGTTTTGGATCTTCAGTGTAATTAAGACCGAGAATGAAAAACATGGAGATCCTGGAAAAATCATCAAAAAAGTTATTATTTTCCTAAGTGGATTGTAGAAATGCACTGGTAGGGCTTTTTAAAGGTGATACAGATTTATAAAATGTTAAAGAGCGGTATATGCTGCCTCAAAATCCTAAGAGCTTTTGCAAAATTTGCAATAGGCGTAAGTGTTGAAGGAGTATTCTCTAGTGACTACTTGCAAACTGTTACTTTTATTGAGCACAGCTGTTGCTGATTGTGGGTGGAAAGTGGTTGGTTTCTTGAATGCAATCTCATTGTTATAGTATTGTGTGTTGTCTGTTAACATAACAGCTGGGTAAAAACAGCAAATGAATATTACAGGGACAAAATATCAAATCAGCATAATAGTGTGGTTGTGTTTGTTATAGTCAAGTGTGTATGAAAAGGATTTATCAGACTCATAAGTCACCCATAGTTGTTTGGGGAACATTTTGCAGGAGGAACTAAGGAAGACATAAATGCATCAATAAGAGATGGCTGACTTTAGGAAAAGAGTCAGTAGATACCACAACTCCAGGCAACCTAAGACTTACATCCTCCTGATTTACAAGCAAGGTGTGGCAGTAGGAGCACCCTTGTGGTTCATCTTTATACATATGCATATCTGTATGAAGTATTGTACTTGAATTTAGTCTGCCATTTTGCTCAAGTTCTTTTGGACTAATTTCTGTGATACACTAAGCCTTATTGAGTGAATTTGTAAATGATGGTTGAAATTGTATTCAAGGAGAAGTGCCTTAATTCAAATATATAACCATGCATTGCTGCATCTTATTTTAATCTTGGTTCAGGCATTAGTTCACTGGGAAAACAAGGCAACAGTATCTTCATTGTTCCCTCTTTGCTTTTCATCTTACCTGGAGCATAGGAGTTTCATTTAAAAAAAAAAAACTGGGGATACATTAAACTTTCACCATTCTGCATTATCTTGGGTCCATTCTCAGACTTCCAGATTGCAGAGATATGGCATCTTCTGGCCATATTTTTATATTAATTATGATATTATGCATACTATTCATTATAATTCATTATATTGTGATTGTCTCCATAAGGCTTAAACTCCCTATTTATTGTTATTTATTTCCTAATTATATATTTTTATTCATACACCTGTCCATTGCCCAGGTAGATCTTAACATACAATTTCAGACGAGCCATTATCTGCCATATGTAAATTTAAGTTCCATTTTAGGTTCCCTAATGTTCTGGGGCACTGGTTAGTTTGATTTATAATTTTAATTTGTATGAGGGTACATAGATAAGCAAAAGTTTCCTGCAGGGGTTAGCAAGAGTTGACTATTTTGGACTAGCTGCTGTGCCAGTATCTTTCTTATTCTCCTTCCCTTAGCATATCTGAAAGAGGGTTATTTTCATGAGTTGACAAGTGGGGCTTTATTGTTACAATCCAATTTAAGATTACTTTTTAAAATCTA